ACCCATTTTTCAGCCACCTAAAGACCTCACATCCTTAAGAACCACTTTTGGTACTAAAAATAAAGTTGAAAAAGAAAGAGCAATGAGGACATTTATAATGAGGCCATTTACCTTTTTAATTATGTGCTTTATTAATAAATGTTTGCTGAGTGAATGAGTGTCTTTAAATGGAATCATGGTGTGAATTGACTGTTTTCTCAAGTGATGGCTCTGACCTTTCAACACTAACTTTTGTAGTGAGTCTTGCTTTTTAGGGTTTAATTCTTTATCATCCTTTTGGTTAATGGTCAGTCTCAGGGATTGCTGTGATCTAATAAAGAACTAACTTTTGGTGGTGGGGAAGGGAGGGGCACTGATTTTAAACTTTTTTTATTATACAAAGAAGACATTTTCATTGCACAAAAATTAGAAAATATATAATAATGATCAAAATGAAAACAAAATCATTATGCTTCCTGAAGAAAACAATTGATAGGATAGTATTCTAGCAAACCTTTTTGTGTACTTAATTTTTGTCTTTCAAGAATGACATTATTCTCTATATATCAGGGTCTTCAGATGTGGCTCTGGGAATAATCTCTTATATATCCTTGATTTTTTTTCTGCTATCCTGTATTACAGCCATAGAATCTCAACACAGTGCTTTGGGCAGGTCCCAACAGTTCATTTTAGCTGTTATATACTAGGTTTTGTGGCATATGAACATCATCTTAGGTTTAAAAAGTTTCTTAGGTAATTTAAGAGATAAGTGACAGGTGGAAATATGCCATTCAACAAAAACCTAAATCCTATGCCCTATCACCAGAGAGATTTCTTAACATTTCCATTTATGTAGCAAATGTATATCCACATTCAGATGCTGGCAGGGCCATTACCATCTTCCTGCAGTTGAATACAAGGTTCCAAAGACCTGCTTGGAAGCTGGCTAATACCTTTGTTGTTTTAGTGAGGAAGCCAGTTACCCCAAAGAGGTCAGATAAGACAGGCAAAGTTAGTTTCTGTGATTAAGAGTGTTACATTTATTATATAGTAGCAGTTATAATGACTTCCACTTGCTTAGTGCTTTCCTTTTATATGTAAAGGCACAGATGAAGGTTTTTTTTGTTTAGTTTAGGGTTTTTCTTTTTTCAGGTGGAGTTTCACTCTTGTCACCCAGGCTGAGTACAGTGATGCAATCTCAGCTCACTGCAACCTCCGCCTTCCTGATTTAGGAAATTCTCCTGCCTCAGACTATTGAATAGCTGGGATTACAAGTACCCACTGCCATGCTAGCTAATTTTTGTATTTTTAGTAGAGACAGGGTTTTGCCATGTTGGCCAGGCTGGTCTTGAACTCCTGATAGGTGATCCACCCACCTTGGCCTCCCAAAGTGCTGGAATTACAGGTGTGAGCCACTGAGCTTGATGAAGTATTTTAACATGATTCCATTGATAGCTCCATTTTATTGATGAGGGAACAAATTCAAAAAGGCTCTGCCTAAGATTAAATAGCTAATGAGTCTTAGATTTTGTCCTTTTTGGTGAGTAAATTAGCAAAATATTAGTTGTTACTAGGTTGGTGCAAAAGTAATTGCAGTTTTGCCATTACTTTTCATGGCAAAAACTGTGATTGCTTTTGTACCAGTAACCTAATACAGTTTTCACGTGTATCAAGTCCAGACTCCTCTGTCTGCCGAGAAGGCTGTGCGTGATGTGACTCAATCCTATTTACTCACCCACATTTCCTGCTTATCATTAACCATCTTGTGCCAGTCGTTGTTCTTGCCTGGAATTCTCATGCTCCAGATCTTTGAGCAACTCAGCTCACTATGATCTTCTCAGAGAGGGCTTCCCAGACCATCACCCTATCTGAAGTAGGCTCCTAGTCACTCTCAGTCCTGTTTCCCTGTTTTCCTTCCTTCCAAAGTGACTATTCCTGGAAACCATCTTGAATGTATTGGTTTATTTTCTGACAATTCCCTATTGAATGTTAGCTCCCTGATAACAGGTATCTTGTTTGTCTTGTTCTGATTGTATCTGTCATACCTAAAATAGCATCCATATTGTAAGCTCTTGTATATTCGATGAATGATTAAACCATGCTCTGACATGATCAGGCTGTGGCCTTGCTGTGCTCTCCACTTGCCTGAATGTTTCCGTTTTCATGCCTCTGAAGCCGTTGTTTTCTCCACTTCGTGTGCCTTCTTTTCTCCTTTCTAAATCCTGTAACCAGTGTTACTCAAAGTGTGGCCCATGGGCCTGTACCATCAGCAGCACCTTGAAGCTTGTTAGAAGTATGCTCTTGGGGCCCATACTAGACCCAGAATCAGAGTTTCTGGATGTGTGGCCTAGGAACATGGATTTAAACAAGGTATATTGCCGTTCTTATGTTTGCCGAGGTGCAAGGACCACTGCCATGATCATGGAAATCCTACCCACATCAATTTCTGCCTTCTAAAAAAGTCTTTCCCAAAACATTGGCATTCTATATGGGACAGCTCCTTCACCTGTATGGCTAATTACCTCAGAATTGTTACCTCTCTAAACTTTGTAGCTGTTTGATGTGTCATCTGTTTCTTCAGCCAGCCTGAGATCTCCAGCAAGACAGGACCATGATACTGCTCAGGTCTCTTCTGTGGGCGTACTCAGTGAGCAATCAGGAAACACTTGATTGTTTTTGGTCATGCATGTACATTTATGGGACAAGAATGTCATGTCATCGTCTAGCTCCCCGTGAACCTGATGTTTGCTGTAGTGTGGAATTCACTACACATGCTTGGTTGCGTGGGGCCCTGGATTATCCGCAGGAACTTGACTCTAGAAATACCAAAGCACCGTTGTTTCACAGCCCAATGAGTAGGCTCTACATGGAATGAGGCTTTTGCTGTGTCTTCCTGCATGGTCATCTCTAGTCATTTGAGAGCTTCCATTGCATGCAGGTCACACATAGTGGTAGATGCTATCAATGTATCAATTATTTCTAGCATATTTTAAATTTGTCTTCCTTTTGTCTACCTGAGAATTGCTAATGTTGTATTCTTCACTGACCACAAGGAAAATGAGAAAATTGGTTTTTATCGTTTCACTATCTATAGAAAATAGAGCACTGTGTCTTTCTTTTTTATGGTAGAAGTGCTCCAGAGAATTTCTGTGTCAAACTTTAGAGATACTTTTCATAAAGATAAGAAGCATTTTACTTTTCTGAAAGAAAAGAGAATAATACAGAAAAGAAAAAACCTTTTGCATGCTGACTTATCTTCCCCCGACTCTAAATTAGCACTTCTGCATAGATTCCAAAGTTATTCCACATGTTTCTTTGTGAAACTTCTTTAACCAGCTTGCAGGGACTTGAGCTGCACTGGGCCACCTCAGAGTTTACGTTCATGGCACACAGGATGACTAGTTTATTTTTATTCTCCATTATTTTGGGTTGGAGAATAATCCTAGGGCACAAGAGTTTCATGTGTGGTTATTTTTGGCACGTGGAGGCTTTTGAAGTAATTTGTGATTAATCACTGAATACCTGCTAGGTAGCCAGGGATATATGCATTCAGCTGTTATGTGTGTGCCAGTGTATGAGTGCATGCAGGGCTTGTGTATTGGGCAGTGAGAAAGAAGACATGAGAAGTGGTATCCTTCCCTCTGGGAGTGTAGAATCTTGAAAGAAAAAAAGCACACCACAGTTAGATCTGAATTGGAATTCTACTTTCTTTAATTGTGCAATCTTGGGTAAGTCATTTCTCTGGCCTGTTACAATCAAATGACATAACAGATGAAGATACCTGGCCCCATGTCTGGTATGTACTAGACGCTCAAGGTCTCTGTTGGTGTGCATGTGTGTACTTGTGCCTGGCTCTTATTTAACAACGCAGATGTAAAACCACTCACAACATTGTATAGCTTTATTAGTTACTACGATTTAAACTCCCACAGCAATGTATTTTTAAAAAGCAGTGTTTTCCCACAGCCTTTCCTACATTCGATGTTTCTAGGCTTGTTGTCTAATTTTTGCCAATCTTTTAGTGTTAAATGATATCATAAATATGATTTAGATAGTAAATGATATCATAAATGTTATTTAGTTATTAAATGATATCTTAGTGTTGTTCTTAATATTTTTTCAGTTGCCATCTATCACTTATTACTTGGTTTAATTTCAAAAATTAATATACTTATTATATAGGAATATTGCATTGCTTTCCTATAGGAAATATGAAACCCAGGTTGCTGGAGGGATAACTACTGTGCACATTGTGAAGCTTTCAGTCTTTTTTTCTTGGTGTATCTCGTTATCTACACTGAGTCATACCACATATGCAGCATATGTTCTGACTTTTTCATTTAACTTTCTTTTCTGTCGGAGACAAGGTCTTGCTCTGTCACCCAGGCTTTAGCATGGTGGCTCAGTGATGGTGCACTGCAGCCTTTAACACCTGGGCTCAGGAGATCTTCCCACTGTAACCTCTCAAGTAACTGGGACTATAGGGGCACATCACCATACTCAGCTAATTTTTTGTAGAGATGGGGTCTTACTGTGTTGCCCAGGCTGGCCTCAAACTCCTGGCCTCAAGCAGTCCTTCCACCTCACCTTCCCAAAGTTTTAGGATTACAGGTGAGCCACTGCACCTGGCCTCATTTTATATTTTATCATGAAAACTTCCTGTGTCATTAAATATTATGTAAAATCATGACTGAATGGCTGCTTACTTTTCTGTTATATGGATGTGCCTAAACTTAGGCAACCATTGGTTGTTACGTTTTCTTTTTTGCTGTTATAATTAATGTTGAATGTCTTTGTACCATATCTGTGTTATGTTTCTAAGGTAAAGGACATTGGAAAACATGTGGTTAATTCTTGAATGTGCTGCCGTTTTTAAAGCATACATGTTAAGTATCCATACAGGAAGGGCTGTGGGGAAGCACTGTCTACAGCTGGTGCTTTTGTGCAACATGCGTCTGACAGTTTAGAGCCCTCGGCCGAGAGTCCCAAGAGCACTTACCTTGTTTTCTCTCTCTACACAGTCCTACTGTTACAGGTATCGCTGTGCTGCTCGGAGCCAGAACACACCTGATAGCTCCGCTTCGAATCTGGGATTCCGCTGTGCAGCCGACCGCCCGCCCACCATGGACTGACAACCAAGAAGAGCCTTTCGCAATCCATGGAGGAGTCATGTCTGGCCTACACTGGGCTTCCCTCAGAACTTTGAACAATCTCACGCAAAGAATTCCCACCCTGAGGTGGGTTACATACCTGCCCAATGGCCAAAGGAACCGTCTTGCGAGACCGAATCGCTGACCTGGGTCAGTGCATGTGCTTTATTGTGTGGTGCGTCTTTGGAGATCATTGCCTTATTTTACTTTTGAGAGTCTTTAAAGAGGAAGGGGAGTGGAGGGAACCTTCAGAAGGCCGGCATCCTACCCAGGCCCTGCCACAGGGGTCAGACCCCAGGTTCGACACTTGACCTTCCTGGGCCTCAAGTGCCCTCCCCTATCAAATGGGGGGATGGACAGCTTGACCTCTGGGGTTCTCTCTAACTCACCAGTTCTAAAGAGGATATCAGATTCTATTGTGACTTCATACTGAGAATTTATGATAGTTTATTTTTTAGCTGTTTTTTTTTCCATGTGTGAACCTTGGGTGATACTAATCATATAAAGTTAAGAATTCTCTTATGTATTGTTTTGAGAAAAGGGGTGGTGGTGACTCCTTTATATTCATACTGCACTTTGCTTTTCCAAGGAAACCAGTGTCTTTTACATTGTTATGATGAATCCCACATGGGCCAGTGATGGTATGCTGAAGTTCAGCCATTGAACACGCAGGAATGTCTGTGGGGTGACTCTACTGTGCTTTATCTTTTAATATTAAGTGCCTTTGGTTCAGAGAGGTGGTCATAAGCTCTGTTTCCCCCTCTCCCCAAAGCCTTCAGTGAATGTGAAATGTGTGCTAAAAGGGGAAACCTGCTTAATTCTAGGTATAGGGGAAAATGAATGAGGACCTTGAATTAGCTATATTCAGGATATCTTGTATTTTGTAATAGGGAATAGGAAACCTTGTCAGCTATGGGTTATCAGATGCTTTGAATCATGCACTATGTCGAATAAACTTAACTGTTAAATCAGGCTTCACTCTCATCAGCTTCTTTTCTCTTTCTCTTCTTTGTGTTTTCTTTTAAAGAAATGACTTTGTGATATGTGTGTTTTATTTGCTAGAAAACTTTCATGTTTATTAGCTAGTGTATAACTTTGATATGTCAGTAATTGATGGGAATTTTTATTCCAAAAGGCAAGGTTATTCCACCAGGAAGCCTATCATGACCTTGCTGCCTCTTGCCACAGTAGGTAATGCCAAATCAAAGGCACTGCCTCAGTTGATAATCTTGTAAAACCCAGTGTTTGCCTCACATGCCAGGAAAGCACCTTGTTTTAGAACAGTGGCTTTCAACCTAAGGTCCCTGGTATCAAGATCCCATCTTGATTTCTCAGTCCTGAGAATGCTTAAGCCATTTCTTGGTGCCATTTGAAAGAAATATTTAAATCAAATAATACTCAAAAGTGTTACCCAACACTTGATTGCTACTTTTGTGCTTAGCCTCTTAACATGTTAAAACATTTGACTTGAAAAGCAATTATGTAGGCCAGGCTCAGTGGCTTATGCCTGTAATCCCAGCATTTTGGGAGGCCAAGACGGGCGGGTTACTTGAGGTCACGAGTTTGAGATTAGCCTGGCCAATATGCCAAAACCCTGTCTTGACTAAAAATACAAAAAAAATTTAGCCAAGAGTGGTGACACGTGCCTGTCGTCCCAGCTACTTAGGATTGAGCCAGGAGAATTGCTTGAACTTGGAGGCAAATACTGCAGTAAGCCCAGATTGTGCCATTGCATTCCAGCCTGGATAATAGAACAAGACTTCATCTCAAAAAAAAAAAAAAAAAAAGTAATGAAGCTAGAATGTTTCGCCACATTTTTGGTTCATTTTGTGGATATTAAATATTTTTCTACAAACTTCCACTCATTGATGATTAATCCCAGGCCAAAAAAAAAAAAAGAACAAACATTTGTAGCAAATAGCTAATGTAGGAAATAAGAGATTTTATTTTTAAAGTCACTCTACTCTAGTACAGTTTGTTTTAACTTGTTACCTCCCACCTGCATATATTTTTTACATTGTTATATTTATAGTGTATATATTTGGAATTCTTCTCTTGTTAATTAATGTTATATTGCATAAATATTTTTGGATGTTTTGGGTATACTTTTTAGAATTGCATTTTCAGCAGCAGCATAATACTGGAAGGCATGTAAAATTAATTCCTAAATTGGGGACGGTGGCTGATACCTATAATCCCAACACTTTGGGAAGTTGAGGCAAGAGGATCATTTGAGGCCAGGAACTTGAGGCCAGCCTGGGTAACTGATGTGGTTTGGCTGCATCCCCACCCAAATTTCCTCTTGAATTCCCCTATGCAGTCTCATCCCACAATCCTTACATGCTCTGTGAGAGACCTGGTGGGAGTAATTGAATCGTGGGGGCTGTAACCCCCCTGCTGTTCTAGTGATAGTGAGTAAGTTCTCTACGTTCTGATAGTTATATAAGAGGCTTTTCCCTTTTCTCAGGACTCTCTCTCTCCTGCCACCCTGTGAAGAGGTGCCTTCCACCATGATTGTAAGTTTTCTGAGGCCTCCCCAGCCACATGAAACTGTGTGTCAGTTAAACCTCTTTTTTTAATAGAGAACCTCTTGAGTATTCATAGTAGTGTGAGAATGCACTAACACAGCAACATAGCAAGACCCCATCTTTATAAAAAATGAAAAATAAAAATTAGGTGGGTATGGCAGTGTGTGCCTGTAGTCCCGGCTACCTGAGAGGCTGAGGAGGAAGGTTCGCTTGTGCGCAGGAGCTCAAGGCTGCAGTGGACTGTGATTGTACACTGCACTCCAGCCTGGACAACAGAGCAAGAGCCTGTTTCTAAAAATAAATAAAATGACATCCTTACAAGCCATTTATTTAAGAACTACATGTCTGGGTTACCAACTAAAGAATACCCCAAACTATGGAAAGCTATGGCCACTACACTTTATAATGTTGCATTGTGACATATGAGCAGACCAACAAAACGGGAGTATGAAAAGTTCAGGTTGAATGCCATAGATGTAGTCCTGAAAAGCCTCACTGTCTGTAAAACTGCACCCAAAAAATAGAGGCATAAGGGAAAAATAGGGGTAGAGGCAGATTACTCAAAACTTAAGCAACTTTGTACATTGTGCCACAACACTAACAAAATAATAACTATCCTAACAAAACCAGTTAATTAAATCTCTACTGGCATTTGCAGCCAACATTACAGCCAATTGATCCTTAGCAGCATTAAGACTTGAGGCAACTTCTTTCTTTTCCAAGATGTAAGACCTTCAGGACATAAGCTTCTAATGGAGACTACTTCCATCAAAAGTAAAAAAATCTGATCTGAGTTGCAGATTTCTTTGTCAGTCAACTTTAAGAGGGGCAATGTCTTTGCAGCATCTTTATCTGCACTCTCAGTTTTTCAGAGAGCTTAACATAGTGGAAAGTGTAGCAGTTCCTGAAGCTACTAAATAAACCACTACATGCACTAAAAGAAGGCACTTTGATAGAATTTTTTTTTTTCCTGCAGGTTGATATATTGCTAAGGATTTCACTTAAATTATGAGAAAGCTTGTGCCTGCTTGTTTCTAAACACATTTTAAACCACAAGTGATCTAACACGACTTCCACATTCTACGGTCCTCCATTCTCTGTTTATTCATCACTTGTGAGCTATTTCTGCTTTAAATAAACACTTGGAGCAGAGCAGACCATTTGGTCGATGTGCCAGTTCCAGTATTAAAAAACTGTTTTTTGTTGCTGTTGTTTTAGGCACTCTTATATGTAGAGTTGGTTTCTAATTCTCATTTCTTGCCCCGTTGAAGCATGGAAGGAATTTGAGGTTTTTCTCAAGTCTGCTTTAGTCCTGAATCCTGGACAATCTTTTTTTGGACTGTACATTACAGTTAAGTGAGAAGCAACATGTATCTTTTTTCTTAAAGCTGTAAACATGATTAGAAGAAGGCAGGGCTTGGGGGAAATAGGGGTGGTAATCAAGAGGGACCTTTTCTTCATGGAAAATGGGCTGCATAGATGCCTCAAACTACATCGTTCAACCTGTAGCTTAAAATGGAGTACAGATTCGTGTCAATATGGACATTTTCTTTTCACCCCCACCTTCCACCTTTTTTTGAACAAAGCATCTCAATTGTCCATATGACCGTTGAGGAAAAAAAGAAATGGAAGCTACCATTTATTTTAGTAAGAGTTGGTTGGGGCCAGGCACGGTGGCTCTTGCCTGTAATCCCAGCACTTTGGGAGGCCGAGGCGGGTGGATTACCTGAGCTCAGGAGTTTATGAACAACTTGGCCAACATGGTGAAATCCTCTCTCTACTAAAAATACAAAAATTAGCTAGATGTGGTGGTGGGCATCTGTAATCCCAGCTACTTGGGAGCCTGAGGCAGGGGAATCAATGGAACTCGGGAGGCAGAGGTTGCACTGAGCTGAGAGTGTGCCATTGCACTCCAGCCTGGGCAACAAGAGTGAAACTCCGTCTCAAAAAAAAAAAAAAAAAAAAGTTTGTTGGTTGGGGCAGGGGTGTGGTGGAGGTGGTGACTTCAAAGTGGTGTATTGGTAAATTCTGTTTTTTTTCAGGAACTGTCTTTACTGTCAATTCTGTTGACAAAAAATAATGACTGAAATTTCATCCAGAGAATCCAGAATTCTAATTCTCTTGCTATTTGAAATAGATTACATTTTTATCCTCAGTATTCAAGCTGCAAATAAAATTTTTGCCTGTAGTAAAATCCATAGTTGACTTAAGGAATATCTGGAAAAAACAACAACAACACACCGTAAACATACTGCTTTCTGTTCTGAATTTTATGCAAGGGATTAGTGTGGGGCTTATTTTTTCTTTTTTATATATTTGGCATATCTGTTTCCCTCCTTCCTTCAAACAAGTATTAACGTGACATTAGCAGTATTTCTCGTAAGGGAGTTAACCTGCTGGCTGGCTGTGGAGGAACAAAGGAAGCTCAAGGCCAGGCCAGAGGGATCAACAGGTGAAGCAGGCCGGGCCTGAGTGAGGCCTGTTCTAAGCATGCTGCTGCTTCCCTACAGAAATGTCAGCCGGGAGTTGCTCAGTTATCCAGTTTCCAGGATTCGCTAGATGTTTGCATTTTTGTGTGAAGTCTTCTGAGTTTTTCATGTTGGCAACCAACTAAGATTTTAAAAAAGCAAACACTGTGAAGACCTAATAAATTGCTTCTGCAGCCAGATTTCATCTGTGGGGTGCCAATTTGCATTTGCAGCCTAGATTATGAAGAGTTGATTCATTTCACAGAGCCAAAAAAAAAAAAAATCCCATGTATTTATATCTGAAGAATGACTGATCAAGTAAGAAATGTATAAATGTAAGAAAAAGCTGTGGGTTGCCCAGGGACCTCATTTTGCCTAGAAATACCTTATGAGCTGCCTCTCCTCTATCCCCACCCCATCCCCACCTAAAAGCATTTAACAGCCATGAGTAATCTCAGCAGAGCCCATTTTCATTAACTTGAGCACTTATGACTAAGTTTGCAGATTAATATCAGAGAATAGCAAAATTTTAATTTTTTGACTGTTGATTTATTTCTTAAAACTTAATTCTCTGGATACAAACTACCCTAGAGGAGGCCTCAGTTTTATAGGTTCGCCAGAATCAGCTGTGCTATTAGAGAAAGCTAGCCTTTGTTGCTTGAAATGCTTAAAACACCATGGAAATTATTAACTTTGAGAGCCTCAGATGGAGCTTTGGCAGATGGCCAGAACTTCCTTCTTCTGACTCTTATGTTTAGACCATTAGAGCAAGAGTTTAATTAATTTTTTGATTAAGCAAAATTATTACAATATTCAGGTAGGCTGTAAAAAAAGAGAAATGCTCTTTCTTGAAACTTGCCCTATTTAGGATTGGAAAGTTCAAGGGATTACTACCAAGAGAGTGGAATTTTTCAGCTTCAGATCCGATTCTAATCTGCCCTCAAAGTAATTGACCCCAAAGCCATGATTATGAGAAG